TTATACCTTTAATATATGTATGTATGTATAGGTACATACATTGAAGTTGCGCAACCTGGGTATTTTTATTTGATCGCTTATAACTTACGTAGTTTTGCATCGATTTTCTTCGATGATAGCTTATTTTTTTTGTAATACAACAGAGCTTAGGGAAATTGAAAAAATCGGTAATGATTGTTCGTTATCTTTGAATCTACAGGGCCTAGCAAAAAGTGTTGTATGCACAGTTTATAGAAAATTTTATTACCTTTTAAAAAACCGTTTTGGAATTGCTTAATTCGTTCTTGAGATATATATGATAAAGTGGACCCAATTTTTTTTTTCTTGCAAAAACGGTAAATTGCAAATATCTCAAAAACGGTACCATAGAATTAAAAATAACCTTGATTTTCGGAATCAGGGGGTGATTTTACATAAGAATTTCATAACGGCGTTTCTGGTAAAGAGAAAAAGTTGAAATTTGTGGTCCAGTGTAATCAGTAAAACAACCCTTTTCACATGCATTTGCACAATGCATTTTTTCCCCCAGGGCGATGTCCTAAGAAAAGTGGGGAATTTAATTTTTCATTACCTAGTATCGAGAAATGAATGTCTTTTAAGATGAAATTTTTGGAACTTTTTGAATACATTACAATTGTCAAGGATTCCGAGTAAAATAAAATACACCCGTCTTTTAAAAGTTAATATGTGTCTTTCTTTAATCACGTTCAATAGCAAGTATCTTTCTATTGTACAAAAACGACTGTCTGTGTCCGCGGTCCGTTGCAACTACAAAACTACTCTGTCTTCTTCTCGTCCGTTTCTCTTGTATGTGTTGTGTGTTATTCAGGGCTGTCATGGAATCCAATTGTTGTCGGAATTGGATTTAAAAACGACAAAAAAATTACTTTGGTGTCATGAAATCCAATGTTATCGGTTTTATGTTCGAATCGGAATTAGTGTCGATTTTAGGTGTCACAGAAACCAATAATATCGATTTTGCTATCGGAAACAAACCAAGCAGCTAACGGCTGTTGGATTTCATTTGTTTATTAGTTTTCCTTACTTCCAGTTGGATATTTTATAAAAATGTGAGTAAAAGAATGTTTATTTTATAAAAATATTTGTTAATGTATTCATATTTTTATTCATCACTTTTTATGCTTTCCAAAAATGTCTGGCGCTACTAACGTTCCATACGAATGAGTCATGGCTAGAGCCGGGATAGAGTGCATCGACGGCTCGAATTTTCATGTCACCATCACACATCTAAATAAAAATGTACATGCATATATATAAATCAAGGCAATGTACGAGTAAAATGAAGATTCATGATTACTTACAATCAGGGCATTCATACTGAATTATTTTCGATTATAAAATAAATGTTCGTCAATACTGGGCTTAATGATTTTTATGTGTGTCCCGTCGATGCAACCAATTATTGAGGGAATTTTGTACTTTAAGTAAAAATAGTCTCTTGATATGCGCTTTTCGATGCAGTCCATTTCTAGTTTCACCCACTGAGGGCAAATGAACCGCTCCATAACCTTAAGCACATCATCTAAAATCGTTGACACCGCGCTTCTAGCTACACTTATGCTAGAATCGTTCCCGACTGATCTTTGACAGGATCCTTCTGCTAAAAATCGCAACGAAGCTGCTAACTGCAGCACTGGTGGAACTTTCGAACGTGTCAAGTGCCCTTCAATGGTGTCAAGTACCTCTTTGTTTAGGCGATAATATGCTATGAAACTGCAAATACGCTATAAATATTTATAAACGCATATTAAAAAACAATCTACTTACGCTGTCTCGGGCAGCTCAAGTGGATCGCCGCAATCTCTCAAAATTTTTCTTTTAACCTTCTCGGAACTTTCTTCTTCCAAGAACAGAAATGCGATAACTGCGGATGTCATTTTGCGTTCACTTACTTTTATTTACTTTTATTTAAATTAATGAAAACAATTCAATTTTAAAAAATTGTGTCAAAAAAATGTACATTCAAATTGCCGCCATGCACACAAATGAGCAAAACAGCTGATTCGAACATCGGTTTTGTTTATGTTCGAAAAGAGCAAAACCAATCCGGTTTCATGACACCAAATGAAACCAATATTGGTTTGTAATTCCGACAAAAAGCAAAACCGACTTGGATTCCATGACAGCCCTGAATATCTGTCAGGGTCGCATTATAAAGTATTCGAAGTAATGCTTTACAGAAAAAGGTATTCATCAGAAATATCATTTGACAGTTCGGCCTATCCTACTATGGCATCGCCTCGATGTCATCTGCGGTATCATCTTCCTCCATAATATCGTCGTCATCTATGGTGGGCGGTAGTGCACACCAAGGCTTCATTCGATCAGATGTATAAATAGAACTGAACCGTTTCTGTTTACGCTGCATGCCGTCGATGTCTTCAATCAGATATCTATCTTTACCAATCACCTTGGAGACAACATATGGACCACGATATCGTGCATCCAACTTACGCGATTCTCCAGTGGATTGTAGCTCATTTAAGATAACCACCAGGTCATCCACCTTGTACTGAGTGGGAGGTTTGTGTTTGGCGTCGAATCTCTGCTTCCAATTTTCTCGCTGCTGCTGCAATTTAGTAAGGGCTTCTACCCTTCTATCTGCCATAGGGAGTTCATCACGATCGTCAATGACCGCTGCCAAAAGCTTGTTTCGTATTACGTCTCGAATTTTAAAATCAAATATTAGATCATTGGGACTAAACCCTGTGCTCGCATTCACTTGAGTATTTACGCTGCATTGTAACTTTTGCAAATAATCGTCCCACTCTTTAGCATGTGTACCAGAAGTTCGCAGAAAATTCAAGATAGTTCGGTTGGCCCTCTCGACTTGCCCATTCGACCGAGGTGTTCTCACAGCCGTTTTGATGTGTTGGATATCATGGTCATCACAGAAGTTCTCGAACTGCTTGGATGTGTACGCCGTACCACGGTCGCTTACAATTCTCGCTGGTAATCCAAAATAGGAGCTAAGCTCAGTCAGAATTTTCAATACAGGTTGCGTCTTCGTGTTTCTTACTGGCTTCACTATTAAATACTTCGTAAATGCGTCGCTTATAGCAACAACGTACGTATAGCCCCTTTTGCTTTTTACAAAGGGTCCCAGATGGTCGACATGGAGCGTATAAAAGGGAATAGGTGTAACCGGATCAACATATAACGTGCCTTCCGGCTTGCCTCCAACAGCTTTATTATAACAGCACTCGACACAAGCAGATATGTAGTCTTTAACATACTTTCGGATGCGAGGGAACCAGAAGTGTTGTTTCACGCGTTGAATCGTTTTCTCGAGCCCAAAATGGCCCATTTCGTCATGGCAGTACATAGCGATACGCCAACGAACAGCTTTCGGGACAACGAAGAGCAGCTTACCACCATCACGTCGATAAAGTCGGTGGTTGTCTATCTGGTACTCATTCTTCAGCTGGTTTACTTGATCAGATTTACGTTTTCCTTGTAACACGTCGATAATTTCTCGGATTTTGGCATCTTGGAGCTGCATGGTTAGCAACCAGTCTTCAGTTTGCAACGCGATATGCATTACATTTTCAGCAACTATTTCATTAGTTATAGGTGCTCGGCTCAGTGCATCCACATGACTCATACGTACGCCGGGTCTGTGAACACATTCGAAGTCGAATTCGCTTAAACGCATCCACCAACGAGCAATGCGTGGAATGAGTTCATTCTTTGTTTTTACGCTACTTATAGCTGCACAGTCGGTTACGACTCTAAAAGGTTTGCCTAGCAGGTATACCCTGAATCGTCGCAAGGCTTCAACTACCGCCATAACCTCCAGCTCGTAGCTGTGGTAGCGAGATTCTACCGCAGTACATCGTCTACTGAAATACATCACCGCATTCCAGGTTTTCCCATCGTCATTAGACTGAAGGAACACAGCCGCTATACCAATCGAGCTTGCATCAGTATGAACTTCATGCTTTGCTTTGAAGTCATACAATACCAGCACTGGCCCACTCGTCAAAGCTTGGATCAAAGAGTTAAAAGCAACCATCTCTGTATCACCCCATGTAAAGTTATTCGCAGCATCTTTTGTAGTTAATTTGCTCAAGGGTCTAGCGGTGATCGCATAGTTCTTCACGAACTTTCTAAAAAACCCTGTGAGGCCCAAGAATCGTCGTACCTCGGTCGCGTTAGTCGGTACCGGGAATTCACGGATCGCCTTCACTTTACACTCGCCGGGCGTAATACCATTAACGTTCACTTTATGACCGAGGAAGTGTATTTCTGTGGCCAAAAATTTGCACTTATCTCTCCGCAAAGTCAAATCTGTCTGTTCAAGCAAAGCTAAAAAATCGCAAAGTGTTTTTAGGCCATCACTCACAGTTACACTCGGTATTATTACATCATCGAGATACGCGATCACTTTCCTCGGTTTCATTTTACTGCATAGTTCATTCATCATGGTCTGGAATACCGCCGGCGCGTTTACCAGACCAAATGGCATACGATTATATTCGTAATGACCATCATTAGTAACGAACGCGGTGAATTGTTTACTACTCTCTTCAACTTCGATTTGATGATACCCCATGTTGAAGTCTAAAACCGTAAAATAGCGATTACCCGCGAGTATAGCAAAAAGTTCGTCCATAATTGGCATAGGGAAGGGCTGCTTGACTGTAACCCGGTTCAACTGTCTGTAGTCAACACACATCCTATATTCGTTATTTTTCTTCGCAACCACTACTATCGGCGAAGCATACGCAGAATTAGATACTCGAATAATATCTTTTTCTAATAAGTCATGAATCATCTCATTTACTATAGGGCGTTTTGCAAAAGGCAACCTATACGGTTTCATATTTATCGGCTGGTCAGCCGAAAGTTTGATACACATCTTCACCAAGTTAGCTTTTCCCAACGTAGAGAAGCGTTTTTCATATTTACACAAAATCTTGTTCAAATCGCCATATTTACCCGTTTTAGGTTCAACTTCAATCGCGTTTACTGTTTTAGTGTCACTATCATGAACGTATAAATTATCACCATCGATTATGTATTTATTTTCACCCGAGCATAGGACATCACGCCCGAGGAGAATATCATTTTCAATCAAATTGTCATCAACAACCAATAAATGTACGCAAACGATCGCATTATCAATTTTCATCATGACTTGTATTTTGTCATAACACTCAAACGCTCCGCCTCCAAAACCTTTGAGACGCACATAGCACTTTTCCTTCAGACATTGTTCTATGTTTGCCGCAACTGAGTTACGCACCAACGAGCGTGAACTACCTGTGTCAACAAAAGCTTCGATTTCGTTGTCATTTACCAAAACTCTTTTTACCGTAAACTTGATAGGTTCGTCTTCAATCGCGTTGCACTTTTCGGATTTTTGTTTTTGCCCTGTGCAATCTGTTATACGGTGACCAATTTCACCACACTTTCCACATTTTGGTTTCTGTTTCTTTTCACTACATTCACGCGATATGTGGCCTGGTTTACGACAATTATAGCAAATAATGTCACCCTTTGACTTCTTTTCATTTGTCGAACGTTTGATTTGATTGTCTTGCATTGTCTGCTTAACCGGCGCGCTATTCTTCGCGACACTATAAGCACAATAGTTTTTAATCGCATATAATAAATCGATACACGTAGCATACCTTGCCACTGATAGACACTTTTTCATATCCGTATCGTTTAACCCGTTTATAATATATTTTATGATCGCTTGGTCATCCACCCGACCTTGATGACCTTTCGCCAACACGCGATAGTAAAACATTTCAGGGGTTTCATTTACCCCTCGCCGCATACTCATTAATTCGATATGGACATCAGCTGAATTAATCACTGACGGAAAGTGATCAAGAAAATCTTTTACAAAATGCGACCAATTTACATACACAATTGGTGCGGAATCTATCCACATTTTTGCAGCACCCTTTAATTTTGCTTGTACTGCAAAAAGAAGTATCTTCTCATTCCACTCATACACATGTAATAGTTGCTCGACCCGACCGACAAACTGCACCGACGACAACGATTTATCATTCGGATCAAACGATGGCAGGATTTGTATAATGTCATTTACTTTCCCGAAGCCATTAGAAATAAAACGATTGTCCCAATTCCCACTTTGTGGCAAATAATGAGACGGCGCGAACACATCATTTGCATATACGTATGTTGGCATTGTATTGCCCCGTACACCATGTGAAGACATTGTTGCAAACTCAATGTTCTGATTTTCATTTCGTTCTGTATGCCCCATATGAGCGAACGAATATGTCGTTGAATTTACTCTTTCCCCCGCTGACGTTGACGCTGCCCAACTGGGGTTACTTTCAAAATTTCGCGACGTTGCAACCGATGATTCGGCGAACTGGACATGACGCGGAATCGACGTCGCTGCTTGCGCAGAATTTGAGCCTAACGTTGCTCTGCCTTCGTTTATCGGCATAGCTTGCCGCGCAGCATGTACAGGCATGCTTACAGGTTCCCATATTGCCCTGCCCGTCATGATCTCCTGTACACTGCAGTTATCCCCCAAACACCCAACAGGTGTTGGTGAGGATGTACTCAATGGTATAGCACTGACCGCACTTGCCCCAACACGCACCGATTGGAGAGCGTTTTCCAATTGGTTCAACCGCCGTTCTACGCTTTCATTTAGTGCACTTGAAAATCTTTCACTATTCTGGTGCTCATACCACCGCTCGATTAATTTTGCCTTGTTGCCTGACGTGGGCAAACCAGCATCCCGCAACTTTTCACGCAGTTGTACCACATTTAAATTACCGATTCTGTCCATTTTTAGTTTTAACTCAACAATTGTTCTTACGCAAATTTTTACTAACGGATACGCGCACACGTTTCTCGCTTATGTTTTTGGTTTTTTCATACCCGCTTACGCACACGCTTCTTTTTCTTTTCCACGCACTTGGGCTTTTTACCCGCTTCTGAAAATTGTCAAGGATTCCGAGTAAAATAAAATACACCCGTCTTTTAAAAGTTAATATGTGTCTTTCTTTAATCACGTTCAATAGCAAGTATCTTTCTATTGTACAAAAACGACTGTCTGTGTCCGCGGTCCGTTGCAACTACAAAA